TGTTTCTTCATTTTTCATGTTATTAAGAATGCCCTCAGATTGGGGAGTGAAGGGAGGGGAGGGGACATGGGGTAGGAATGATAGTAGAATGAATCAGACATTATTACCCTGTGTGTATATATATGATTACATGACCCGTGTAACTCTATATCATGTACAACCAGACGAATGAGAAATTGTACTCCATTTATGTATGATGTGTCAAATTGCATTCTATTGTTATGTATAACTAATTAGAACAAGTTTTTAAAAAAGAATGCTCTCAGATGGTACAAGACTCTAAAAGTCATTTAATTGTTTGACTCAGCTTTAAGAGCATGCAGTGTCTTTCTGGAAACTCTGAGGGAGCCTATAAGTCCACTCTGTGTGTTCTTAGGACTGCCTGCTTAAGGGTACATCAATGGCTGTCACTGGGGAGGAGAGGTCTCTAAAGGCATGGATCTGCCCTTGGACCCCAGAGTCTAGCTTACATGCTCTCCACATGTGGTCTTGAACCAACCCTACACCTTACCCCTTCTGGTAAAAAAATTTTCTCAACATTTTATACAGCTCAATACTGCTGCTCCCTAGCCCCTGTGTCCAACCCAAAGGCAGAGACTGCCACAGATTGCCATTGCCTCAAAAGGGTATTACTCCTGGGCCTTCCCAAGATGGGAGACTTTAGACAGACTCTGTTCTGTTAGAAGTGCTGTTTTCACAGGTCTATAATTGTAGCTACTTGGGTGGGTGAGGCAGGAGGATCACAAGTTAGAGGACAGCCTGGGCAACTTTAGTGAGATCCTGTCTCAAAAGAAAAATTTAAAAGGACTGGGAATTTAGCTTAGTGTTAAGAGTACTTACCTAACAAGTATGAAGCCCTGGGTTCAATCCCTAGTACTGGAGGAAAAATAAAAAGCTCAGCTTTTTTTACTTTGTTTCGGTTTTGGTTTTAGGTGTCAGGGATTGTACCTAGTGCCTTGTGAATGCTAAGCACACACTTTACTACTGAACCATGCCCCCAACTCCCAAAATGCTCAAGTATGGTAATAGAGCAACATCTGACCTGAAGGCTTGGGAAATAAGGCCCAACTCTTTTTAAAAATTGTTACAGTAGCTTTTTTGAGATATAATTCACATGCCATAAAATTCACCTATACAGTCTGGGCTGGGGTTGTAGCTCAGTGGTAGACCACTTGCCTAGCACATATGAGGCACTGGGTTCGATCGCCAGCACCACATAAAAATAAACAAAATAAAGGTATTGTGTCCATTTGTTTGTTTAAAACAAATAAACAAACTGTACAGTTCAGTGGGTTTTAGCCTCATCCGCATTGTTGTGCATCCATCACCTCTGATTCAAGAACATTTTCACCACTCCAGAGAGAAAAACCCCATATCCATTAGCAATCACTTCCCTTTGCCAGGTCCTGTCCACCACTAATCTACTTTCTGACTGTCTGGATTTGCCTATTCTAGACATTTCATGTAAGTGGAACCATATGGTATGTGGTGCTTGATGCCAGAACTCTTCACAGCACAATGTTTTCAAGGTTCATCGATGTTGTAGCATTGATCAGCACTACATTTCTTTCTTTTCTTTTTCTTTCTTTCTCCCCAGTACTAGAGATTCAGCCCAAGGCTTCACATATGTTAGTCAAGTGCTCTACCACTGAGCTACATCCCCAACCCTTCATTTTTAATTTTTATTTTATATTAAGACAGGGTCTTGATAAGTTGTCCACGCTAACTTAGAACTTCTAATCCTCCTGCCTCAGCCTCCAAAGTTGTTGACATTACATGTGTGCACCACCATGCCTGGCTCCACTTTCACATTTTGTTTTTCCATCAGTTGACTTTTAAAAAATATATATCTATTTATTTTTTTTAGTTGTAGTTGGACACAATATCATTATTTTATTTATTTATTTTTATATGGTGCTGTGGATCCAACCCAGGGCCTCACACGTGCTAAATGAGCGCTCTGCCCCTGAGCCACAACCCCAGCCCCAGTTGACCATTTTGAATAATGCTGCTGTGAATGTTCATGTACAAGTTTTTGTGTGGATATGTTTTCATTTCTCTTGGACAGATACTCCCTATAATATTTAAAAATTATTTCTCCTCATAGAGAATCTGCTTGCCACGTGGAAGCGAGTGGGGTTGGAACTGAAGCCACATTCTTCAGCAGAGTGCAACTTCTGCAGGAGGCCACTGCATTTTGAAGTGATGAGTGAAAGAGAAAAATCTTATTTCTCAGGCCTGAGCAAGTTGGTGTCTGCTCAGGCCTGAGTGTGACTTCAGTTACTCCATATAACTCAGCCATTATCATATCCAGATAGTCATCAGAATTATCTTTATATGTGCATTAAATTATATTAAATCTTAATCTATAGTTAAAATATAGTCCTGAAAATAAATTCTTGTTTAAGTGATAAGTGTTTCTGCTATTGGCTACTGAATCAAAAAATAATTTGAATTCAGTTTGTATTATAGAGATATATAAACCATAATGGCTGCAGACCCTGCTGGAGTGTCAGAAACTCCTCCTCTGCTTGAACCTTATCACCTCTTTAACACCTTCTGCACCCATGGAGGACCCAGCAGCACCCAACAATCAAACAGTTCTGAAAGCAGTGACACCACTGTGCAGCTGATTTCTCTTTATATTTTTGCCCTCACAATCTGGACTAGGCAGTTCATGCATATCAGCAGTCTTGCTGCAGCTCTTTCCCCGCAATTTCCCTCTCCACCTCTGCCTTGACCTCATACCTACCACTAAAAGTTGAACTATCAGGAGGGACAGGCTTGCCCTTGCCCACCACATCCCCCAGGCTGATGGCTTCCTGACATGTAGTCAGGTCTTCCCTGGCAAAACTCGAGGGGTTCGTGTGCCTCACCCTGAACCTCTGGGCTTGTATTTTGGGTCTTCCTGCTTCTTGCACATTCCTACAGCTATCCCTTGTTTTTACTGTCGTGAATTTCTCCCCTTCCACTGGCCCATTCCCATGGGCATGCAGTAGGCTTCTTCACCCATCTTAGCAATAAGCAAGCTCTCCTTCAGGATAGACCCCCTTATAGCTGTCGCCTCTCTATTCTGCACTTTCTGCATCACCTTCCCCATCAGTCTTGTCATCCCTGTTCCTATAGAGGCTGTTCTTTTCTCACCACATCTTCTGTGTCTTGCAAAATCCAGTGACCTATCCTATCTTCTTTTCATTGGATCCCTCAGTGATATTGGAGGTGGCTGACCTTGGCCTTTTTAAAAAAAAAAAAAAACAGATTCCTCACCTAAGCTTCTATTCCACTAACCTCTCTTGATTGTCTTCCTCCTTCATGAGCTGGTTCTCCTCGGTCTGTTTGGATCCTCTTGTGAATGTTGATGACCCCAATGGGCTCATTTCTGATGCATGCAACACTTCCCACCCCATGTGATCTGTCGTGGGCTATCAGTTCCATCTGCATGCAACCACCTACCACCTCTGGGTAGCAAGCAAGAACGATCTAGGCCCACACTGGTTTAGGCAGCACCCCGAGTCTGCCCACCCCTGCTGCTCATGTGGTCTGACATCTACCCAGGTGCTCAGGCCTCTCATTTGAAAGGCAGCTCTGTCCTTCCATCACATGTACACTGTTAGCAAGTCCTCTGAGTTCTTACTCTAAACACATCTCAGGCCAGGCCACTCTTACCTCCTCCACTGCTGCCAAATACACCTGCCTCTACTCCAACAGTGGCCTGAGAGGTCTTATTAAAAAAAAAAAAAAAAAAAAAAAGTCAAATCATGTTCCTCCTCTGTAGAAAACATTCCTGAGTCTTCCAGTTGGAGTGAGATTAAATTCTAAAATCCTTTCACAGGCTGGCCATGTTGGGGTTGGACTCCCATCCAGCTTCCAGCCTCATCTTTCATCCATCCTTATTTACCCACTCTCTGTTTATATTAATGTTGGGTCTCACTTCTGGGTCCCAAATACTAAAGTTCTTTCAGCCATTCTTTATCTGTCTGGATTTTCTTGCCCTGGATCATGGTGTTTTAGTCAGCTTTTTTGTTGCTATGACTAAAAATCCTGACAAGAACAATTAGAGAATGTAAAGTTTCTTTGGGTGCTCATGGTTTCAGAGGTCTCAGTCCATTGACAGCCAGTTCCATTCCTAGGGGCTTGAGATGAGGCAGAACATCATGGAGGAAGAGTGTGGCAGAGGAAAGCAGCTGGGAACATGGTGCCAGGAAGCAGAGAGAGCTAAACTCAGCTCACTAGATACATACCCCAGGGGCTAGAGTCATAGCTCAGTGGTAGAGCACTTCCTCACATGAGTGAGGCACCACATAAAAGTAAATAAATAAAATACAAATATTGAATCCATCTACAACTAAAAAAAAAAAAAATACCCCAAAGGCAGGCTCTCCTCCTCCAACTGCACCCTGCCTTCCTTCAGTAACCACTCAGTTAATCCTTATCAAGGGATTAAGTCACTAATTGGGTTGAAATAACCCAGTTATTTCATGTCTAAGCCTTCTTGCATTGTTTCACACATGAGCTTTAGAGGAACACCTAATATCTAAATCATAACACATGGTGTGACCACCTCTCTTCACTCAGGATAAGGGTGAGACCCCCCCAGATACATGAGCTAACTGTATTTATTTATTTAGGTATTTGGAATTGAGCCCAGGGGTGCTTTACCACTGAGCTACATTTCCAACACTTTGTATTTTTTATTTTGAGACAAAGTCTCACGAAGTTTCTTAGGGCCTCACCAAATTGCTGTGGCTAGCTTTGAACTTGTGATTCTCCTGCCTCAGCCCTTTGAGTTGCTGAGATTATAGGTGCATGCCCCTGCATCCAGATCACTCACTGATCCTTGCTTTTTCTTTTTTTTTTTTTTTGGTACTGGGGATTGAACCCAGGGGCACTTTACCACTGAGCTATATCCTCAGCCCTTTTTATTTTTTATTTTGAGACAATCTTGCTAGTTGCTTATGAAAGAAAAGTGGTGCAGGACTGATCACACACACACACACACCTGGGATAAGAAGCGAGTTTATTGTCAGGAGCCTGACAAGGCTGCTCTGCAAAAAGAGGGACAGCAGCAGCAACTCCCCTTGGATGTTACCTTTTATAGGCTAGAATCATGGCTGCAGGTGAGGGGCGGGTTTAGTCTTGACTGACATAGTAAGCATCTCCTGATCTTATGGAAGCCAAGTTTGTTTCTTGGGAACAGAGACAGGCAGTTTTCCTATCTCTCAAAGGGGAAACAGGGAAACCGGCATGTCTCTGTATCTTCTCAAGGAGAGAACAGGCAAACCAGTACGTCCCCATCTCAGGGCGGTAAGTTGTCTCCTATCTCTCAATGAGGGAACAGGGAGAGACCAGCACGTCTCCAGGCCGGTAGGTTTTATCTTGGGCTACTTTCTATTTCTTGGGAATAAGAACAGTATTCATAAAGTGGGGATGGGGAAAAGGAAGATGGCTGCAATTATGCTAACAGCTTAGGGCCTCACCAAATAGCTGAGGCTGGCCTTGAACTTCTGATCTTTGGGCTTCAGTCTCCTGAGTTGCTGGAATTACAGACACTTGCCACTGTGCCCAGTTGGGCGCACCCCTTTTTGAATTCCTCCCATTGCTGGGCCTTTAGCCTTGCTGCTCTTAAATAGTCGCCACACAGTGATCCCCCCCCCCCCGTTGTAATGTTATCCCTATGAAGAAAGGTGCCCTTTCTTCTCACTTCTGTACCCTCTGAATCCAGCATAGAATCTGATAACACAGTTGATGATGAGCAAAAATGTTGAATGAATGAAGGGCACCCCAGTGACAACATCTTAGTCTACTAAAAAGAACAAGTGTGCTGAAGAAGAACCAACCTGCTGGAGGTGAGGAGCATCTTTGGGCTTGACTCCCCCTCTTAGCTCTAGAAAGGCAACTGTGCTTTCTCCCCTGGGGAAGAGTTGTGCTGGTAGTTGGCCTGGGCTTGTTGAGGCACACGGGAGGGCTCCACTGAGTCATGGTCCCATCAGATAAAACTGTTAGTCTCGGCAGGCCTCTGGGTGTGATGGAAGTCACGTCCGGCACTTTGGAATCACAATATGGTTCCTTCCTGCTCTGGTAACAACTCACTTTCCCAGCTCTGCTCCTTCACATAGGCCTTCAGGGCTCTCCATTGTCTTTCACATTCCCACGCCTGGACAGCGCTCCACCTCCTTTCCTTCAAGTAGGATTGCTTGCCTCTAGTGGGGGCCTGAACACTTAGGACCCAGTCTTCCTCCATAAGAACAAGGAGAGTCAAAAAGGCTCCGAGTGGGGCTGTATAGCTCAGTGGCAAAGCACTTGCCTCACACGTGTGAGGCATTGATTCAATCCTCAGCACCACATAAAAAATAAAGATACTGTGTCCATATACAACTAAAAAATATTTTTTAAAAAAGAAGAAGAAGGCTTGGAGGTACACTTTCCTCTCCCTCCTTCTTGGGGTTATGAGAAAAAGACGGAAGGATCTACAGGAAGTAGAACGATTTAAAAATGAGATGTTTGGCTTTTATAAGCAAGTCTAGTATAAAACTACAATACAGTGGGAAGTTTGCCAAGAGTATTTAGAAGTCTGGACACCAAATAAAGTGCCAAGGGAGGGCAGGGTGAGTTGTGTATTAAAATCTTAGTAGCCTTTCCCCATCATGACATTTTCTGGTGCTCCTTACTCCCCAACAAGGAAACCACCCAAGGTCTGCAGACTCTACCAAGGAGAGCTTTGGTCCCCAGCGTCATGTGCTTCTGATTCAGTCACATCTGCCTCTGAACATGGTGCTCTGGGAGCCATCCCTGGCCCAGGAGGATCATTCTCAGGGTAGAGAGAGAAACTTTGAAGCCATATCATCTCATGGTCCTGAGTAAAAGTCTCAATACTTAATAATGGCAACTGAGGCCCTGCTAGGTTTTTCAAACCTTTATATTCATTGTTAGGTTAGTTTGAGGTGGCTAAGGCAACCCGTATGCGCAAAATTACAACACATCAGGCACTGACAGACAAGCATTGATAACCACCTGTCAATCATCAGGGTCTCCTGACCAACCCCAGGAGGACAAGGGACTCTAAAAACCTCCCTTTCCTGCCCTAAGCCCAATAAAATTCCAATCCGTCTGAGCCTGAGTGGATTCTCCTGGACCTGCTCTGTTCCACTGGAGGGTCTTGCCCCGGAGCGAATCTCAATAAAGCCTTGTTCAGCAGCTTTTAGTCTGCCTCCTTTTGGTCACCGTGACTGACCTTACACACATTACCATTCATTCTTACAATAGCTTTCAGAATAGCCCTGGTCAACCCCCTTGATAAATGAACAAGCTGAGACTCCAAAGGGAAGTTTGCCTGCCCAAGATTACCCAAATGCCAGAGCTGGGATTTAGCCCCTTGAAATCTGAACTAAATTTTCTCTTTCCTGGTCTGGCAGAATCAATGTCAATGTCAGTGGGTGAGGATGGCCAGAAGAGAGGACCTGGAGCCATCCCTGAGTACCCTTCCCGACAGTGCAGTGGGAGCCACCTTCTACACAGCCCACAGTGGCCCAGCTCAGACTGCCTCCTGCGGGATCTGAAACAGTGGAACTCTGCCCTTTCTGATCCCATAGATAGCACAGAGCCAAGTACCTCAGACCCCAAAACTTATTTGAATCAAGCCAAGATCCTACCACAACACCCATGCTTCATCTCTAAAATGGTCCTAGCCTCCAGAACACCAAGTCTGTGAGAGCACAAGCGGGGGTAAGGGGAGATTAAGGTCTACCTGGAACTGCCAGAGAGATTTGCTGTCCAAGTTGTGCTTCCTATAAGTAAAATATGGTATCCTAAACAAGGGCTTGCTTCCTCTCCTGCTCCTGCTTGTGCCCAGAAGAATCTCGGAACTACTCAGTAGGGGACTTTCCCAAGACTCCACCCTGGCTGGGGGAAATGACTGCTTTTATTTTCTCCCTGCCCCAGGAAGGCTCAGGAAGTAGGACACATCAGAGCCCACACAAGGCTCCCAACCCATAAATAAAATATTCTCCTCTGTGTTTGATTTGAGTAAATAGCAGGGAACACGAAGGCCTGAGCACCTGTACCCAAGTCACAAAAATTTTGCTGTTATGTCTTTGAAGCCAGCATAGGCATGGCCACCAGATGGCGCAATCACCAGCTGAACTGGCCATAAATCCATTATTTATTAAAAACTTTGGAATGAACATCTCCTGAGCTGGCCTCTCAGCAGGACTTTGCTGAGGGACAGAAATATACCAGACTTGCAGGTTCTTTGCCCTCAAACCATTTTCAGTCTAGTAGGGGAGAGAGGCAAATACCCGAGATTAATACCCAAGACGGTGCTGACCCAAGCCTAGCAGAAGCTGCCTGGCTCTGCCTGGAATGGGTCAGGCAGGGCATTGAGGGAAGGGTTGAAAAGGGCAGAAATCCTTCCCTTGCTCTCCGTGAAGGTCCAAGACCACATTCGCCGAATATCTTCAGACTCCCCTAAAAAGATGCCCATGAACAAAATTGCCCTTAGCAGCCAACTTTAGTCCTATGGGTCCCCGTTTTTCTCTTTTCTCCAAACTGCCTCTTTTCCCTAATCACTTTATAGAGTCCTACAGAATTTTCCTTTCTTTTCTCCCACCCACACCTCTGGGAAGCTCAGGGTTAGCTGTTTAGTAATATGCATGCATGCATTTTATTTTTTTAATTTATTTGTTGCATTCATTTATTTATACTATTTATTATTAATTGGTTGATTTTTGCAGTACTGGTGATTGAACCCGGGGGTGCTCTACCGGGGGTGAACTACACCCCCACCCCGTTTCTTTTTAAAATTATATTTATTTGCTTTTTTTTTTTTTTTTTTTTTTTTTTTTGAGACAAGGTCTCGCTATGCTGCTCAGGTTGGCCTCAACTTGCAATCCTCCCGCCTCAACCCTCCGCGGAGGTTACAGGTATGGGCTACATCACTCTGCTTGGTAGCATATTGATTGCCTGCCCTGGGTCTCGCGTGCGGGTGGGGAGCAAAGCAGTGGAGGTGCCCAGAGAGGCAGCTTGGGCTTCCCGGGCAGCGAGGTCTAGAGGTGAGGCCCCACCCCACTGAAGCTCCACGCTATTCGGCAGTGGGTCCCTGGCAGAAATTCCGGTTATAGAAATGGCGGTTGTCCCTGGTCAGGGCCGTGCTCAACTGAGCCCAGAAGCTGCCCTGACCACTGGGCTGGTGGGGCCAAAAGAGGACGCTCTGGCGGCAGAGGCGCTGGCGCAGCCGCACGTAGCGGGAGCGGCGGGCGTCCGGGCGCAGGATCACCAACACCACGACATCCTTGCGGTCCTCCAGCAGGCGCTGCTGGGCTAGCAGGAAGCTGGTGCGCAAGAGGCCACTGACCCGATCCGTGTGGTCCAGCACAAAGAGAGTCTTTCGGCTGCCATAGACCGAGGCCCACAGGTTCTCGAAGAGTGATTTGCCCGGCAGCCAATCCCGCTCCTCCAGGCAAAGACGGAGCGCGCGGCGTCCGCGACGCTCCTCTAGCCTCACCCGCAGCTCATTGTACACCCAGTCAGCCACCGCGTTCTGCGCCTTGTCGAAGACCACGAAGGCATCGTAGGGCAGGGCGCGGGTGCCGCGCCGCAAGGGAAGCCAGGCCAGGCCCAGGTGGAAGCAGTACCAGAGATCCCAGCCACAGAGATGCTGTAGCACAGGCACAGTCAGACCCAGAGCCACAGCCAGCAGCGAGAAGCCGAAGCAAGTCCAGGAGAGCCTCTCATCCAAACAGAGGCGCAGGTCCTGCGCGAAGATGCTCTTTCCCTGCAGCTGCCCCGGGCTGCCACACTTAACAAGGTTGGGCAGACCTGGCACGGCGTTCTGTACCTCCAGCAGGAAGTCCACGAAGGCCGCCCCACAGGCACAGTGCAAAGGGTTGGCACTCACATCTAATGTTTTCAGAGAATAGGTCAGTGGCCCAAACCAGGAAGACTCAATCGTCTTGAGGGCATTGTGGCTGAGGTTGACCTCTTTCAGCTCCACTGCCAGGGCAAAGAAGCCTGGGTCCACAGAGCTTATCCTGTTGCTGCTGAGGTCTAGCCTCTGGAGCTGTGTTCCATTGGGCAGGCTGCCATTGCTCAGGGCCTTCAGCTGGTTTCCTGCCAGGTCCAGGGCTTTCAGATTGGGCAGGAGGGCCAGGCAGCTCCAGTTGAAGAAGGCCAGATAATTGTGACTGAGACGCAGCAGCTGCAGACTCTTGGGGAGGTTGTCCAGGTAGCGTGGCAAGAGCGTATGCAGGTGGTTCTGGGACAGGTCCAGCCGAAGCAAGCCTCTCAGACCTTGGAAGAAGTGGAGATAGAGGTCTCCCTCACCCCACATATGGCTCACAGCATTGCCACTGAAGTCCAGGGCCTGCAATGAGGTGCTGCTGAGCTTCAGTGACACACGACTGTGGATGTTATTGTATGCCAGGCTGAGGAATTGCAGGGTGTGCAGCTGGGCCACAAAGCTGAGGTTGTGGCCTACACCCTGCATGCCGAAGGCCTGGCTGTTGTAGCTGAGATCCAGAGCCTTCAGGTTCGGCAGCTCTGTGAACGAGCGCCCATGGTACAGGTCCAGTTTGTTATGGGAAAGGTCCAGCACCTGAAGACCAGTCAGCAGCCGGAACTCTGAGCCATTGACTGCCTGGGCAATGTTATTGTGGCTCAGGCTGAGGCACTGGAGGTGTGAGAGGTTGGAAAACATCTCTGGCTGGATTGTCACCAGGTTGTTCCTAGACAGGTCCAAAATGAATTTGAGGGACCTGCAACTAGGCATGAAATCTTCAGAGCTGGAGCTGTCCAGTGGGGCTGGAGTGAGATCCCTAGACCACAGTTGGACTTGCTTCCAATCATTTGCCTCCCCAGTGGTGACTGTCAGCTCTGAAGCTCCACTAATGCGGTTGTCTGAAAGATCGACAAAGTGCAGGCCAGGGAAGGCCCCGAAGATGCTGAGCTGGGCCTGGTTGATGAAGTTCATTTGTAGATGCAGTGTGTGGAGAAGGGGCAGATGGGTCAGCGGCTTAAGCGTATTCTCATTGAGTGATCGGAAGAAGATGCCGTTCATGTTCAGCTCCTGCAGTGAGATCAGGTTCTCAAAGGAGTCTTCCAGATGCAGGTGGGCAAAGGACACCTTCTTGCAGTAATTGAAGGACAGGTTGAGCTTGCTCAACTGTGTCAGGTTCCGGAAGGCCGAGGTATTGGTGATGCATTCGTAGAGAAAGTTTTCACTCAGGTCTAACACAGTGAGGTTTCTGAGACCTTGGAACAATGTGCTATCAAGTGTGTGGAGAGAACTGTCCTTCAACACCAGGCCTTCAAGATGACTTAGTTTGCTGAAGGTGTCAGGATCCAGTTGGAGAGAGATGTTAGGGCACTCCACACAGGGGTTGCGGGCATGGTCACAGCGGCGGCAGTTCCCGCCTACATCAAGCACTCGAAGGGCAGTCAGATTGGCCAGGTCCCCACTTGTCAGTTTGACAATGTGGTTGTAGGATAGCAGCAGGTACTCCAGACTGGGAGGCAGGTTGCGGGGGACTGCTGTGAGATTGTTATACTTAAGCGACAGGTGGGTGAGTTTGCGCAGGCTAAGAAATGCATTTGGGGCCACCTCCACTGCTCTGCTGCATGGGTTACTGTAGTAGCAGTTGCCATCCATGTATAGAAAGCGCAGGGCATGCAGGCCAGCAAAGCTAGTATGGTCTAGTGTCAGAATGTTGGTGTGGCTCAGGGTCAGGTTTACTAGGGATTTGGGCAGGGCGGGCACAGTGGTGATGCTGTTGTAGCTCAGGTTCAGGTCTTCCAGTTTGGTCGCATGCAGGAAGGTTTGGGGCTCGATGGTCATGTGGCAGGGAAAGTGCATGGGGCTGAAGCTGATCGGGGGGCAATTCCACTTGAGGTTGAGACGCCGCAGGTTAGGCAGGTGGACAAAGTCAAAGTTATGGAGGTGGTGAATGCGGTTGGAGATCAAGGAAAGGCTGGTGACATTACCACGGGGTGCTGCTACAGAGAAGTGGGGCACAGACTTCAGGAACAGCCAGTTGCAGTTCACCAGACTACCCTGCTGGAACTCGCAGGGCAGGAAGGCAGGCAGAGCACCCAGGGCCAAGGCCACAGCCAGCATTGCAGCCTGCACCAAGAGAGACAGGGGGTGCAGGGCCCTGGGGCAGGGACCCTGTGGGGGACCAGGGGCTACATAAGTGTCCAGCCCTAGCTCCACCTCCACCCATTCCACTTCATAAGGTCTTGGAGCAGAACTTCCAACTCCCCTCTCTCCGAGCCTTCCCAGTGAGGCTCCTCCCTGGCTGTTGAACCCCCTTCTCACCCTCTAAGGCTCACAGGGAAACTTAATTTGATTTAAAACTCAGCCTTTGACTCAGAATGTGGACTTAGAACCAGGACTGAACCTGAAATCCAGATTCCTAAGATTTGGAACTTTCCTACATGACTGAGCCCAGCCAGACATGAGGGCCAGGAGAGGTGGTCAAAAGACCCATTTGTCCTTCCTCCCTTTGGGAACCATTGCTCTTTCCTCCTGAACAAAGTGGCAGCCACTTTCTTCCCTCCAGCCACCTTGAAATCCCCTCTCAGCCCTCCACCAGCCTTCTCCCAAGCTCTCCCTCAACACCCTGTCTGGCTCAGTCTGTCTTCCACATAGGCCCCTGGCAAGGTGAGCAGCCCAGCTCTCCCACCCTCTGCCTGCCTCCCACACTGGCCTGGGAGCTCTCAACCATTAGGGGTTATGGGCCAGAACAAATCAGAGGGAGCTGTAGGAAGCAAGGCGTCAGCTCGAGCCCTTCCTTGGGTGTCACACAGCCCCAATCCCACCACGGACTGAGGTTCCAGACTTCAGCTTCTTTATCCACCCCCATAGAGAAGACCTTTTGCTTTGATGTTTTCAGGGTGCAGTGAGTGTCCCCAGGGCCATGAGCTAACAGTCCCTTTTACTATTGCCTGCAACTGACAAGCACACCTCCCTCCTCACCCCTTCTCAGCCCATCTACCTCCCCCAGACCTAAGAACTGTTGTCCTACCATGTTGGAGAGTGAGAGCTTCTCCAGAGGGTCTGGCCGGCTGACTGGGAAGTAACTGCAGATGAGGGTGCTTCTCATACTTAGGGTACGGAAAGGAGAGGAAGTGAGAATTTCACTACAGCCTAGTAGCTCCCCTCCTTACCACCAGCTTGGGGAGGGCAGATGGTGTGTAATGAGTCAGAGTCCATTTGCATAGTCAGGTGGCAGACAGAATCTCACCCCTTCCTCTTTCCACTCCCCTCTCAGATTGCCTATATCCCACACTGGCCTCACATCTGTCCTGTGGTTGATCCTGGGAGGAATGAAGCTCAAAGCCCAGCCTAAGGTCAGTGAGAGATCAGAAGTAAAGGTAGCTCCATGCCAGGTCCTCTCATCCTCATGCCTTAAGACCCTGACCCCGTTGATACTCAGGACCCCACCTGCCCCCACCTAGAGAACTCTGAGGGGCCTCTCATGCGCAGAGGAAGCCCTTACCACAGCCTTGGGACATCCTGCATTTCCAGCTCCCTTGATGCCCCATCAGAACAGAGACCGCAGCAGCCCTCCCGGGGGTCCTGAGGCTGGCTGCATTGCTGGCCCAGCTGGGACCCTAGCTGATCCTCCACTCTCAGTCCTTCCCATGCCGCCTCTGACCCAGATCAGAGCTCAGACTAGTCAGGACCCTGGGAGCCCTTCTCAAGTCCTACTGGCTCACCTTCAGAATCTGCCCGCTACCCACCACCTCACACCCACCTGCCTATCTGCATCCCTAGCATCTCTCCATCTGGCTACCCTGGCCCTGCTCTCAAGCCCCCATGTCCCCTGGAGCGGCCTGTTCAGATCTGTTGTGTTGGGTCCCTCCTTTGCTCAGATTCCCTCCATAGCTGTCTCTGGAATCAAAGTAGTATATGTCACAGTCCATATAGTAGCCAGAGTTCTGAGACCTGCCCTTCCACTCCTTCCCTGATCTCTCTCCACCCCTACTGGCCTTCTTGTTGCTTCAGACACACTTGCGCACTCTCCTGACTCAGGCCTTTGAATGTGCTATTCCACCTGCCTGGAATCTCTTTTCCCAGATTCTCATATGGCCCCCTCCTTCACCTCCTTTAAAATCTCTGTGAGAATTCCCCTCTCCTTTTTTTTTTTTTTTTTTCTTTTTTGGTACTGGTGATTAAAACTGGGGCAAGCACTCTACCCACTGAAACACATCCCCAGCCCTTTTTATTTATTTATTTTATTTTGAAACAGGGTCTCACTCAATTGTCCAGGCTGGCTGAACTTGTGATCTTCCTGCCTCAGCCTCCCATTCTCTGACTTTTTTTTATAAATTTTCCAGTCCTGATCTGACTCTCCTGAGCTCCTCTGCCTGATTTTCCTCTTTGCTTAATGTGTTTTCAACTGTTGAGACACCCTACTGTTGACTTTCAACCGTTTAGTGGATATTGTCTATCCCCTGCTGGAATGTCCACTTCTTGAGTGAAAGATCTTTTGTATCCCCAGCACAGTTGAATGCCCGGTACACAGTAAACGCTCAGTGTCTGCTGAAGCAATGGGTACCCTGCACTCAGCTTTGGGCAGGCACAGAGAGGATATCTCTGAATGAATGAATAAACAAATGGGGTTTACTCCTGGGGAAGGCAAGGCTACACATCTGCTTTCCCACTCCTCCCAGAACCACCTTTGGGGAGGTGTCATGGCATGTGGAGCCCAAGGTCCAGTCATCCAGCTGACTCAGCAGCTTAAGGGTGTTAGCACTGTCTTTCTCTTCACCAGTGTTTGGGACGGGCCTGAACAAACCTCTTCTAGATCCTTGCTATGGTCCCAGCTAGATATGGTACCCTAGATAATCCTAGGGGCTTTAGCAGGGGCTGGGAAGAGGCCCCAGGGATGGGAAACAGCCCTGAGTCAGGAAAAGGTGAGTCACACTCAGCAATGCCACATCTCTAACCCTGTCCCACCTGTGACAGGAGCCTCCATCCATGTCTCAGAGACACAGGCCTGGCTCCTGCTGAACTCCAAGTCCAGGAGAGACTTTACAATCGCTGGGTTATGGCTTGGACATGAGGTATCTTCCAAAAGCTCCTGTGTTAATGCAGGAATATTCAGAGGTGGAGTGATTAGATCATGAGCACTGTAACCTAATGAGCCCATCCTGGTTTGAATGAGCCTGACTGGGTGGTAACTAAAGGTAGATGGGGCATGGCTAGAGGAGGCAGTCACTAGGTTGCACCTGGAAGAGTGCATCTTCCTTGCAGCCACTTCCCTTTTCTTCTCTCTGCTTCCCAACCCAACTGAGCTGTGAGCTGAACAACTGTCCTCTGTAAGGTCCTTCCCCCATGATGTTCTGCTTCATCGTCGACCCGGAGCAACGAAGTCAGTCATCTGTGAACCAAGACCTCTGAAACCGTGAGTCAAAATAAACACTTCCTCTGTTAAGTTGTTCTTATTGGGTATTTTGTCACAGCAACACAAAAGCTGATGAAAACATCTGGTTAGGACCAGGGAGCCAGCCTCCCATCTCCGGTAGCCATCCTACCTCCCTTAGGGGCAGAAAAACCACCAAGTTTGTGGTGATTTGTTATAGCAACTACGGGAGACAAAGACACCTAGATTCCCCCTGTCGTGGTGGAGATGTGCCTGCCTCTCAGGTGGGGATCCCATCAACCTCAGGACTTGTGCCCTCACACACACAGCCTCTCCCACACCCTTGTGGCCAGGAACACTGAGGCTCCACGTAGCAGACCAACCGTTCTCTCCTGACCTGTGAGAGGGCAGTTAGCTATTTGCACAGGGCTACCCAATTCCAAGGGATAGCAACATTCCCTTAGAAGCAGACATGGATATTGATTTAAAAATATTTTATTCTTTAGAAAATACAGCATTCAACCATCCCATCCTGCAGTGACCCCTGCTCCAGCCCCAACCAACCCTACCCACTGTGGTCAAAGGCTTCTGGGCTACGCTGGGACCCCAGTCTCAGATCCCCTGAAAGGCCAGGTTCATGACAGGTCCTTCGCCCAGCCCCCCTTGAGCCAGCCGGGCAGGGCCCCTAGACACCCTGGACACACAGATGAGAGACAGGGTCAGCAGTGGGGAAGGGTCACAAAATGCCAACCCAGTGACCCTCAGAAGCTTGTAAGTGTGTTCAGCCACCGGCCTGCCTGACCCACAGGAAGCACTTCCCTGGAGCCAGAGGGAGAGAGAGGGAGGTGCAGGGAGGGGTGAGGTAGGCAGCCCACAGCTCACTTGCTGGCCTGGCTCTGGTCCGCCACCTAGCTGTCGTCCCCATTCTCGCCAGGGCCCCTGATGAGACGCTTGTGGCCCCGCTTGCCCCCAGGGCCCTTGGGCTTGGCGAATGCCTGCTTGAAGGCATGTTGCTTGGGGTGCACTTCGTCATAGAGGAACTCAGCTGTCAGCTCTGCCCCGTCGCCAATCTCAACCTGTGTAGGGCAAGGCCACAGTCAGTCCGATGACCCTGACACGCATCCCCCTCGGTGACTTCCACTCCTGGGCATCCTTTTGATCTCTTGCCTCAGGCCTGGGGTCTCCTTGTAGATCCCCACTGGGAATGCCACCCACTGGAACTCAGACCCTGGAGCCTGCTACTCTGCTTACCTGGGTCACCCCCTTTTCTCTCCCCCCAGAACCAGGGAAAGTTGTCCTGGTGGCCAGGGCTTGGGCTTGTCTGTGCCATCCGTCATCTGGGCAGCCTTGGGCAGTGCAGGCTGCCCTGAGCCTCAGGTTCCCATCCATCCACGGTAGTGACAAGTCCTGCGATGCTACTGACTCAAGACTCTAATGCCCATGTGGAAGGTGGGGTGACAGGTCCCTGGGGATAGCCACGCACCTTCTTGGCGATCTCCAGCTGGAAGTCCTGCTCGACAGAGTCAAGGAGGCGGCTTTTGCAGCTGGAGTACAGCATGCGCTCTTTGATGCTGCACTTATACCCCGGCATAGAGTAGATGAACACTGGAGAAGGACAGGGAGGTGATTCCATGCAGGCTGAGCAACCTGCAGACCTCCGCCCCCACAGCAGGTCCACCCAGCAGCAGGCCGGTGCTACCCTACCAGCACACAGCAGGGCCTCTGCAGTAACCACTCACCCACAGACTCAAGGTGGTCACCCTCATGGGTATGCTTGTAGAGGAAGAAGTGGTAGCGGGCAGCATCTCGGGGCACTCGTGAGGGTAGCTGGGCCACATCTGTGGGCTCTGTGTGTACCAGCTCAATGGTCTCCCGTTCCAGGTCCAGCTTCTGTGGAGGGCCAGGGGAGACATGAGGGCACCATCTACCCAAGAGGAACCCTGCTGGCAGGCAGGCGCCTGCTCTTGATCTCTTCCTCATAGCTGTACCTCTGCGGGGGTCTTCTCAAAGAGGCACTCCTGGGCCCAAACCCAATGGTGCCCTTTGAAAGTTGCCAAAGGAGGCACTCGCACGAATAGCAGTGAATGGGGTGGTGTGGATGGGCTCACCAACATCAGGCCAGCCTGTCCTCAGAGGCAGAGCCTCTTGAGGGAAGCATTTTGGAAGGGGCACCTTAATCAATGGGTCAGAATGACCCTGTCTGGGAAAAACAAGTGGTCAAGAGGGCTGCAGAAGGAGCCCGGGACAGGAAGGGACTTAGGGGTCAGTGTGAACCCAGGAGTGGGCATATGCGGAGGACGAAAGGGAGCAGTGAGCTCACAGCGGCACCCATGTGGGAAGGCAGAGGACAGAAGAAGAAGAGTGGAACTATGTGTACCTGGTGGCTATTTCTAATGCAGGAAACAGGGAGGGACAAGGAGGACAGTGTGTTCCCACAAGCATGTGGAACAGCTCAGGCACTCCTGGGCTGGTGGGGGCAGGGGTTCTATGCCCTATGTGTATGAGCAGAAGTAGGGGTGGGCCACACTGCCTCAAGCACGCACCAGGGCAGGACCATGCACCCACCAGCTGGATGTAGTTGATCATCTTCTGCTTGAGATGCTGAAGGGCCCGCTGGGCCTCAGGCTGCAGGGGGAAGGCGAGGCCCTGCAGAGTCTGGTGCTTGCTTTCCACACTGATCTCTGTCTTCACCTGGGGGGCAGGGCAATAGTGAAGGAGACCCCCACCTGCCCAGCCTGGGGAACAGCCCAGCCCACCAAACAGCACAGGCTCCAGGCACACGTGACCCAGCACACCCACCTCGTTGATACGGATCTGCTGGAGCTCTCTCTCAGCTGAGGTCAGTGGGGCAGGTGCAGCACAGGATGATAGGTGTTTCTGGTAGCCAGCAAAGGAGAGGTCATCCTAGGAGGCATAAGTGGGCACCTCAGGCAGGCTGGAGGAAGCCTTGCTGAGCATCTCGGCTTACAGCTCCTGGACTCCCAGCCTTCCCATTTCATCCCAAGCCTGGCACTGGCCTTCTCTGCAGCCCTTCACAGGCCCAGCCCCCCATCATTCTGGCCTGGGTGGCTACCTTCACTGTTCCAAAGAGTTCATCCTTGATGTGGCCACCCCCAAACTCCTTCTTCACTGTGGCCCGTGTCGCTGCGTAGAGCATCTTCAGCCGCACCTGAAGGGTGGAGGCCAAACCGTGAGATCCCTGTGGGCAGGTCTGCCTCTCCAGGAGCAGGCAGGAGGCTCTAGAAGGGGACCTTTTCAACTCATCCAGTGAGCACATCCAGCAGGGGGCACAGCATGAAGGTGAGGGTGCAATGGTGGCTCCTGCCAGCAGAGGGAGCTCTGGCCTAGCTCAACCTCAGCCTCCAGGGGTCAAGCTGATGCCACTCACAGGCCTCTGAGTCCTCAGGGTTTAAGCACAGGGCCCTGTTCTGTCAATCTCTGGGACAGGACCTGATATGCATTCCCTAGGATCTCTGGGACAGAGCTTCATTATCCTGCCCAGTCTCAGCTGCCCTCCCCATTCCCCCACTGGCCCTGAGCCTGAGGCTAAACAGGGGTCCCTGGGACTCACCGGAGAATTATCAGGTGACCAGGCAAGAAAGAGCCATTCGAATCCCTGAGCATTCTGTGAGTCGAGGCGGAAGAGCAGGTAGCAGGGCTGCTGGGAATCCAGCAGTGGAAGCACAGCCCTGTCGTAGTCCTGGTCCCAGCGACCCACTGGCTCTTGAGAGGCACCCAGCACGAGCTGCTCTGGGGGCAGAGGCCGGGTGAGCCGGAGTAGCTAGCCATCTCCCACCTCACCTCTGCCTGTGGAATGTCCTCTGGATGTGGCTTTCCGAGCTAGCTCAGACCTGTTGGCTACTCCACCCCACTTTTCTTAGAGCCCCCAAATCTTCAAAGTATGAAATTATGTTACCTGATCAGTGAGTGAATGAACAAGGACAAAAGCTACTACCCAGAGGCTGCTCTCTCTACCCTCCAATCCCCTACAAATCACCCAACACAAACCACATGAAAACACAGCCATGTGTCCACAACTAGCAATCTCGCGGCTCCTTCTCAACACCCACACGTGTGGGTAATCACTCTGACCCCACACTACAGGCAAGGCATGCTGCTCGGTGTAGGATCCCCACCATGCACCTCCTGCTCCCTCCTCCCTAAGCCCAGGGTTACAACAGAAACTCGGCACACCCCTCCTGGGACAAATGTGCTGGAAGAGGTGATGTCACAGTTCCAGGCCATAAAGATCTGCAGGGACAAAAACATCTGGAGAGGGACTGGGGTTGTGGCTCAGCGGTAGAATGCTCACCTAGCTTGTGTGAGTTGCTGGGTTTGATCCCCAGCACCACATAAAACCAAACAAATTAAATAAATAAATAAAGGTATTGTGTCCAACTACAACTAAAACCAAAATATTAAAAAAAAAATTCTGGAGAGGAAGAAGGCAAGACTCATGCCAGACTCTGTAAACAGGTATCCTGCCACCACCCCCAGCTGTGGTTCCCTCTCCTCCAAGTCACAAACCCAACAGCAGTCAAGTTCTTCATGCCCGGGCTCATCAGGCCTGTCACCTCCCTTGCTGGTGCAGAGTGGCTGAAGGGGGCATCAGGCTACCCTGTGGGCTGGTATCTCACAAATACCCTCCTGGCACACACAGCTGTAGGCTGGAGGAAGAACTGGGGCAAAGGGGCAATCTAAGCTTGACCAGGGGATCTGGCACCTCACCACAACGTCCTCCTAGTGGGATCAGGGATCCATCTGCCTGGAAACCCCAACATGCCAGCTTCCTCACCTGCCCACACAGAACTCGTATGGGATCAGGGTTGACAGCCAGCAGTCACAGGCTGAATGGGTTGCAGAAGCATTGTCAACATTGCTGTTCATGTTTTCCAACCAAGAATCTCACATAAAAAGTAAAAGTCAGACCTTCTCTAGAAAAATCAGGAGCTCTAGCCATCTCAGTTGGAGTGTGGACACTTCTGGGCACTCCTAAAACTGTGATACAAAACTGGAATAAGCCGGGCATGGTGGCGCATGCCTATAATCCCAGCGGCTCCGGAGGCTGAGGCAGGAGGATCAAGAGTTCAAAGCCAACCTCAGGAGCTGGGGATGTGGCTCAAGCGGTAGCGCGCTCGCCTGGCATGCGAGCAGCCCCGGTTCGATCCTCAGCACCACATACAAACAAAGATGTTGTGTCCGCCAAATACTAAAACATAAAAAAATTAAAAAAAAAAAAAAGCCAACCTCAGCAATTTAGCGAGGCCCTAAGTAACTCAGTGAGACCCTGTCTCTAAATAAAATACAAAAAAGGGCTAGGGATGTGGCTCAGTGGTTAAGTGCCCCTGAGTTCAATCCCCGGTACCAAAATCCACACAAACAAACAAACAAAAACCCCAAAAAAACCCTGGAGAGCCCACCTAGAGATTCTTCCTGCTTAAGATCTTAAGTTGTGGGCTGGGGATGTGGCTCAAGCGGTAGCGCGCTCGCCTGGCATGCGTGCGGCCCGGGTTCGATCCTCAGCACCACGTACAAACAAAGATGATGTGTCCGCCAAAAACTGAATAATAAATATTAAAAATTCTTTCTCTCTCTCCCTCCTCTCTCTCTCTCTCTTAAAAAAAAAAAAAAAAAAAAGATCTTAAGTTGTGTCTGAGGACCGCAGCCAATGAGTACAGCTACCTCTTTAAGGGTGGGAGGCTGTGGCCTGCTGCCCAGGCCTTCACTCATGAGCTACCTCATGACTCTTGTCCAGTCTCTGAGGAAATCTGGGGACTCTGAACAAAGCCCAGTACAGTCATGGCCCTAAAGCCTGGGGTCAACTCTGGGTCTGGACAGTGCCTACTAAAGTGAGCTGAGCACCAAACCTGTTTGGGAAGCCCCTAAAAGCCAGAGGAACAGGCTACTGAGAAGGTCTGCAAGGACCCCTAGAGATCCAGCCCATACCCAGTCTGTTCCCCTTACAGACTGGGACAGTCCCTTGGCACAGAGAGAAGAAGAGAGGAGTCCCTTACTTCCAACACCCCATTTAGTTCCAGGTCCACGTTGAGGCTTTGCCAAGCATGGAATATCCCCCCTCCTGCCCTCAGAATGGGCTGTACCCAAGTCCCTTCTCCCATTTTGAGGGTTCTTCCCAAAGGAAGAACCTCAGCATCTCTTAGGTCTCTCCTCGGCAGCAGCCAAGCCAGAACAGGCCTGCCAACCACGAACAGATGGAAGTGGGTAGCACTAGCCATATGCAGCAGCGCTTGGACTCTCTCATCCCCTGACCCCTGCTTGCTCAGCCCAGCACCTGGACTAGGCCCATATCAATACCCACACAGCCTCTGGGGAGACCGCACAGGACCCCAAGATATGGGCTAGCATAATAGGGGTGATAACCATGCCCACCCTGTGCTCCTCTCTGAGGCTTCTTTTTTGAGTGGCCTTATCCCCACTTCCAGACAGGGAAACTGAGATCCTGAGGGGCCCCAGAGGCCAATACGCCCTCCAGAAGCAACTAGGTCCAGCCTCCAACATATGCCCTAGTTCATGGGGGGCACTCACCGTCCTCAATGACAACTTTGATGAGCCGAACGGAGCCAGCCCGCGCCTTGGCAAAGAATTCCTTTAATTCCTCAGTGGCTACAAGAACAAGAAACATAGTGGGGGATGAGTAGGCAGAGTGGACAGGGACAAGTTTGGGGCCTGCTCTGTCCTGCGGGATCTGGTGGCTGAGTTGGGAACCAGGTTAAATACGGCCCCGCCATGTGACTGGGAACCTGAGATGGCCACTGAACACAAGCTCCCAAATTTAGCCAGCAGAAGTGGCAGGCGGGTGGCCTGCTGGCTGGGATTGCTCTGGTGATGGGGAGGGGCAAGCAGGGGCGGGACAGCCCACCCGAAGATGGGGCAGATTCTAGGCAAGCTAGTCCAGCCAGAATTAATGACCCCACCTGTCTTCTGCTCCCATGAAGGCCCAGCAGTGGGATGGCCTGATACACACTCAGCACTGTGGAATCCATAAAGAATACACAGATAAATGCCACCGTTATGTCCATTCACACACACACACACACACACACACATCACATGTGCCAACTCACTAAATCGAGCATGTGTGAATATAAAACATACATATAATGCAGAGAGGGACATAAATGCAAATACCATTGTATGTGAACACATGCTCAACTGGTCAAACGTAAATGGATATACATATTTAGACATGAGAACATGCACTCAGATATAATTCCTAGCTTTCTAACACACACGTAGGCAGGCACCTTCAGAGTTTGGCTAAGACAATATGCAGGCAAGAGGATTACAAAGCACACACAGAAACACAGAGACATCTTTTCACAGATGCATGCACATGCAGCTCCAGCCCCCCAGCCAGGCTGCCTCATGCTGAGGAGGCCCAAAGAACCCATTCCCTGTCTGGCACCGCTCCACCAGGGACAACAAGCTCTCCTCTGAGATAGTAGGGAAGGCTTCCTGGAGGAGGAGTGGCTCCCAGGAAAGTAATTCCATTTTGGATCTTAGGCTGCAGAGCTGGAAGGTGACAGCCAGTGACCAAGGAAGGAACCAAGTGCAGAGGTATGGATCATGGTCAGAGCTAGGGAACCATGAGTAATCTCAGAACCATTAGTAGTAGTGAATGGGAACACTATGGTGCAAGTGGGGAAGGGCTCTGCTTGGGTATTTGAGTGAGCAGGGCTAAGCCAGCACGACCTTGAAGCTGCCCAGGGGTCAGAAGAATTCCCGGAGGAACACAGCTGGAGGGTTGAGGTAAGAGAATATTTATAGGGCCTGGATTGGGCAGCTCAGGAGCATCGGGAGGGGGGGGGGGCTTTAAGAAAACAAACTGGTCATGGCCTCAAGTGCCCCCATCTTCCCCAGTGACCTTGTGTCATGGGGTAAGCAGAAGCTCAACTGAGCCCAGCAGGCTCTGGGGCTCACAGCCTCGTGGCGTTGAACTGCATGCAAGAGGGTACAGACTCTTTGGGTCAGGACAGGACTTCCCAACAGCAGACCATAGTAGTTTCCTGAAACTTCAAGCCTAGTGTTAGGGCTCCATTCTTCCTTAGCTGTGTGACCTCTGACTTCTCTGAAACTCAACCTCATCTGTAAAACGGAGATAATACCCCCAAGCTCCAGAAACTTTAATAAGGAGTAAATGGGACGAAATGCTCAGGAATGGGGCCTCTTTTAATAACAACTTTTACCCAGTGGCTCCAGAGGCTGGGGCAGGAGGATTGCAAGTTCAATGCCAGTCTCAGCAACTTAGCAAGGCCCTAAGCAATTTAAAAGGATTTTGTCTCAAAATATTAATTAATTAATCAATCAATCAATCAATTAATTAATAAAAGCTGGGGATATGGCTCAGTGGTTAAGTGCCCCTGGTGCTTAAAAAACAAACAACCCCCCCCCCCAAATTTTATTACTATAAGATAGCTGCTCCTTCTACCTGCTCAGACCTTGGGAGGGTGACCAAGAAGCTCCTCTTCAGAGAGGTTGACAAGCCCCTTCTAGTGTTACTAGGGCAAACTGACACCCTAGCACGGGAAGACATCCTTTCCTACCCCACCCCAATCCCTCCCCAGCTGCCATCAATAATCCAGAAGCCAGGCCTGGGATATCTGAACCTTTATCATCAAAGATTCATGACCCCCCGCCCCTTGCCCACCCTCCCAACTCCAATGAGCCTCAGGTTACAGTCCCTCTACTTGCCAGGATCTGAGGTCAGCACACCTACATCTATGGCCCATGACCGGGCAGGTACTCCAGGGTATTCTCTCCTGCTACCTCTCCATGCCTAAAATGGGAAGGAGGGCTATTCACAGGTAGAAGGAGGGCTGGGGGCAGCACAGTCCCCAATATCCCCTAAGCATCCCTGTGTCACTGTACAGGAAGTGAAGGAATGAGGCAGATCCCTGGCCACAGGAGCTGTCAACAGGGGACATGAGGGTGGCTGCAGCTATGACCAGGCAAAGGGGAAGGAAGGGGCAGGCCAGGCAGTAGATCCCTCTGTGAGGCTGACTCATGATGCCACCCCTCCAGCTCCTCCTGGAGACAGGCTGGCCCACCTGTCAGGAGGCTAGCCCTGACTCAGGCCCTTGTATTCTTGGGTCCTACGGGTCAGGGGGTGCAGTGGGGAGAAAATGGGAGTAGGGCCAGGGAAACCCTTTCTGGGCAGTTCAGCCACCAAGTGGCCACAACCACAAGCCACAACTCAGGCAGTTTCATGGTGGTAGCCCTGGGCAGGGGATCATGGTGTGGTGGCAGGAGTGGCAGATGGCCAAAACCACCAAGCTGTCTAGGCAAGCAGCCTGAGCCCTCACTACAGGCCAGGCAGCCCTCCCAGGCCAGTGGCAGATGGGACACTGAGGCCTGGAGGGTCAGGGTATTTGGCTCCCAGACATTACTTCTCTCCCAGCCTGTCCAAGGAGGAAACTGGGTCCCTGCTGGAGGGGTTTTATGTGTGATACTCTAGGCCATAGATGCTTCCTGGCCATGAAGATGGGGATGGGAGCTGGCCTGGTTTCTTTAGGGCCAGGACCTCCCCTACAAATCTACCCATCTGGACCTTCTTCTCTTTCTCCAGCTTGGAGCTGGGACTTTCCAACCCTGGCTGGGGCAGACTAAAGAGATCACCAGGAAAATGGGAGGGAGATCAGAGGTCAAGGTCAGACTGACAACTCTCCCCAAGCCACTTAGAGGGCCCTATCAAAGGTTTTCCCCAGCTTAGCCTGCAGGAGTGTGAGGATCCTGAGAGGAGTAAAGGTCAGGACCCCTTCCTCACACACATTCACAAACCCATACAAGTCATGAGACACATCCACTGCATGCAACCATGGTAACAAATGCACACCGAGATGCGTACCAATTGTGCACACACACACAGACACCCACACACATGTGCACACAGTCAAGAAACAGTGATGTCTAAGATGGTCCCAGGCTACCTACAGTGTCCAAACAGCCACTAGGGCATGTACATGAATGATCTTAGATGTGTACAAGCAAGTCACATCCAGATGGGTACGCATGGAACTGTATACAGAGGACATGTGCACATGCATGTATACTCCACCAGATGTGCACATCCGGGTACACCCACCCCAAGAAAGGAACAAAAATACACAGACCCGCACACACAGGAACATCTACCCCCAAGGGGTACGTAGGTATTTCCATCCCAGCTGTGTGGGTGCATGTGTACCCACTCTCAGCTATGCACAGCAAGTCTGTACTCCCCCAGATGTGCCCATCCCAAGCGACTGGCGGCTACAAAGCAGAACAGGAAGCTTCCTCCTGCTGATGCTAGTGGGAGGAAGGGACCGACAGCCGGAAAGGGGGCGCAGCCCAGAGCAGAGCCTCTGGGAACCTCTGCCCGTCCGCCAACCGCCCTCACCGTGGATGCCCGTCTGGTGCGTCATGGCTCGGCGTTCCGCTCGCCCGCGCCGTCGGAGCCCTTCGCTTGGCCCTGACCAGGCTCCTCTTGCCTGGACCTGAAGGAGGAGGATGTGGTGGCAGCCGCCGAACCTCGCGCAGCTTCCCGGGCGGTGCCGCAGGACCCGCCCCCAGCGGCGCCCCGCCCCCGACGGGCGAGGCCGGGAGGGCGGGGACTCAGGGCCGCGCGTGCGCGCAGCGTGGCCCTTGGTCTACAGGGTTGTCAGGCTGGCTGACCGGTTTTGTGCGCGGGTCTGTGGCCGGGAAAGGGGCCTGCGTCTGCCCGGGGGGTGCGAGGGCGTCGGTGCGCCTGAATCCGGTCATCCGTGGGTGGGGCGAATCCGTGTGTGCAAGTGGGAAAGACTGTCCGCCCCTGTCTGGGTAGGTTTGTAAATAGGGACAGTTCCGCACTTACCCCAGTTTGTGACTGGAAAAGGGGTCAGAAGGTAAGTAAGCGCGTGCGTGATTGTGCGGGGATCCTATAGCCAGGGGACGTTTCCTGAGCGCGTTTCGCGGAGCCTTAAGCACATTAGGGCACAGGCCTAGGCCTTACGGAGGGAGCCCAGACCCACCTTCTACCAGGCAACCAGCAGATGAACAGGATCTGTGGATCAGTGGTGGCGAGAGCCCTACCCAGAGAATGTGAGATGGAAGGAAGCAAAAATTTGGTAGAATCCTGAAGGAGAGAATGTGGTGACCCAGCAGAGTAGAGCGAAAAGTTTTCTTTGAAGAGGGAACTGCACGTGCAAAGGCCCAGAGATTAAAGGACTCTGGTGAGTTTGAGGAATTTCCAACTCCTAATGAACTTGTCTCCATATCTAGCAGCCTTTCCTTCCGGGCATCAGAACTGACTGCTGCTACCAGCCAATCAGCATTTTGTATTTTCCAGACTCCTGTTATTGAGTCAGGGATGAGCATATGACCCTAGCCTATCCAGTCAGACTCTCTTCAGGGACTTCTTGAAAGGGAAGATTGGAAAAGAAGCCTCCTTTTTTGGGTGGGGGTCGCTGAGACATGATGATGGATGTGTGGCCTGCCTGGAATCTGATAGTCTTTGTATCACACATTTATTTAATCCTATTGACAGCCCCTGAGATAAATATTATTGTCTCCATCATACAGATGAAGACTTTCAGGTTGGAGAAATGTCTTCGTTTGGTCATAAGGCAGTGAGTGTGCTCAAGAACCTTAGAGTCCTTTACTGGAGAAGTTGGAACAAAGGGGGGAAATCCTGTTAAGCAGTGACCCTTGTTCCTTCCATCCATCTCTCACACTTCAGTGATCAGGTATGAAAGGAATCTTCTGGGATATTGGGGTTTTGAGCCCTTCCTGCTCAGCTTAAGATCTGGGATGTGGGCAAGGACCCCAAAGGCCAGCAGAGTACCAAAGCAGATTCCACCTCCTGCTGAGATCTGGTTTCAGGCAAAAAGATGAGAAAGCTGCCTACATATGTATTCAAATGAGTCAGGGGCAGACTGGTTGCCCTTATCTTTCTGATGTTTCTCACAGACATTTAGCTATTGAAATTATTATAACAGTTTTTTTTTTAAAGGTGGATCAAAGAGTTAAGTGTTAAAAAAAAAAAAAGTAATAAGTAGGGCTGGGGATGTGGCTCAAGCGGTAACGTGCTCGCCTGGCATGTGCGAGGCCCTGAGTTCGATCCTCTGCACCACATAAAAATAAAATAAAGATGTTGTGTCCACCGAAAACTAAAAAATAAAAAATTCTCTCTCTCTTTTTTTTTAAAGTAATAAGTTGCGTGCAATGATGCTTACCTATAATCCCAGCCTAAGCAATATAATGAGGACCTAAGCAACTTAGTGAAATCTGTTTCAAAATAAAAAGGGCTGGGGAGGGTTGGGGTTGTAGCTCAGTGATAGAGTGCTTGTCTAGCACATATGAGGCACTGAGTTCAATTCTCAGCACCACATTTTTTAAAAAGTACTTTGAAAATTCTAAAAAAAAGGGGGGGGTGTTGGGGATGTGGCTCAGTGGTAAAGCACCTCTGGGTTCAGTCCCCAGTCCAAAAATAAGTAATAAAAAAACTGCAGATGGAGGACATTATGCTAAGTGAAATGAGCCAGAACCAAGGGTCAAATGTTTTCTCTTATGTGGAAACTAGAGCAAAATAAGGGAAAGAAGGTGGTGGAGGTTCATACATCATAGAGGAATAGGGAAGATCAATGGAGTAGAAGAAGAACAACAAGAAGGAGGGAGGAAGAATGGAAAAGGAGAGGAAACATAGAATTAATTTAACAAAATCATTTTATATGCACATATAAATATACCAAGGGAATTTCTTTATACGTAGAAAGTATCAATCAAAAATAAATAAATGAAAGCTGGGCATAGTGGTGCACACCTGTAATCCCAGTAGCTCAGAGGCTTAGGCAGGAGGATCATGAGCTCTAAACCAGTCGCTAAGCAACTCAGAGAGACCCTGTCTCTAACTAAAATACAAAATAGGACTGGGGATGTGGCTCAGTGATTGAGTGTCCCTGAGTTAATCCCTGGTACCAAAAATAAGTAAGTAAGCAAAAGGAAAATCAGAGTAGAGGAAGGAGGGAAAGGAAAGGGGCATTGGGATTGAAATAAAATTCCTTGCATGTATGAGTTTGTCAGAATGTACCCATTTGTGTGAGGGGAGGAGAGGTTTTATACATACACACTTTTCACTTGAATTTGCACAGAATTCTTTGACATCTCTGGAAGGATCCCCCAATAAATTTAGTCATAATAGAGGTCTCTGGGAAGAGGAATGAGTTGTGGGGATGACTTGCTGCTAAATAAATATTTTTATACTTTGTGAAAATAATAAAATATAGTCGTATAAAAATATTAAGTTTAAAAAATTAAATCTGGGGCTGGGATTGTGGCTCAGCCATAGAGCGCTCGCCTAGCAAGGGTGGGACCTGGGTTCGATCCTCAGCACCACATAAAAATAAAGGCATTGTGTTGTGTCCATCTACACCTAAAAAATAATAAAATATTTTTAAAAATTAAATCTAAAATAAATCTTATTAAAGAACAGATATGGAACTAAATAAAAGCTACTTTCATTGGGAGTGGAAAAATGTAGAATAAAACCTTCCTTTTTCTTCCCCCCACCACCTCTCATGTTAGCTGGGGAGAAGCCTCTGGCCAGAAGGGGGTGGACTTGGGTTCATTGGAGCAATTGGGAGAAGTGTGTCAGTGAGAGTGAGGAGTTTATATTGCTCTGGGAGAGCCTAGATCAAGAATGAAGATAAATTCATCCTAAAGGATCTCATCCATTTTAGATACCAAATAGAAAAAAAAGCCTGGAAGCTTCTGGAAAGAGAAAGGGGCAAACACAGGCTGTTGGAGACCAACCTTGCACGTGACTGAGTCACACTCCCCAGCTGGGTGCTGAGATGCTCAGTCACAGAAATGTGGCAGAGATTTCCCCACCCTTCTTGGGTTTGAGAGACGGTGTCTCGTGCATGGATGTGTCTTGCTAGGGCCCCATGGGTGAAGCTATGCTCACCTTTTCCTTTGTAATATAACCCCTTGCCCCGTTTAGGATAGAATCTTCCATGGAAGTGCCTTGTGTGTGTCCCCTTCTCTTACTGTGCCCTTGGGTGTGGCCTACCCAGGTGTCAGTCAACCTGCTGACAGTGGACATCATGAAGATAGACTCAGCCCCCTGAAACCTGACCCCTTGCCTCATTTGAATAGCTTCTCCTCAATAAAAGGGGTCAGCAAGTGCTCTCTCTCTCTTTCTGCGGACGCTTAAAGTCAGAGGAGCCATCATAGCGACCCCAAAGAAAAAGGTATTTGTGTCTTTTGTGTGGTTATTTTGTGCAGCCCAATTAGCCCAGTTTAACTGGAGTGACCCCTGAGCCTTTTAGTCTCGAGAACAGAAACCCGGCAACAGGCCAATCTGAAGAATGAGAAAGATACTGGATTTCAGCATCAGCAGTGGCAACCAAAAGACAATTAATAGAAGTAGAATTCCAAACAGTCAAAAGCAGAGGTAGGGTGGCGTGTGCTGGTGCATGCCTATAATGTCAGTGACTCTGGAGGCTAAGTTTGAGGAGGCCAGCCTCTTCAAATTCAGGGAGACCCCTGCTCCCATTCCAGCAACTTAGCAAGACCCTGTCTCGAAAAATAAAAAGAGCTGGGGATTTAGCTCAGTGGTAAAGAACCTCTGGGTTCGATTCCCAGCACCAAAACATAAAATAAAATGGGCTGTGGGTGTAGCAATTGAGTGAGATCTGTCTCAAATTTTTTAAAATAAAAGGACTGGAGATGTAGCTTAGTGGTTAAGTACCCCTGGGTTCAATCCACACATAAAATCTCATTACAGAAAAACCTCAAGTCAGGCTGAGGTTCTGACTCAGTGGTAGAGCACTTGCCTAGCATGTGTGAGGCCCTGGTTTCCATCCTCAGCACCACATAAAACTAAAGGTATTTTAAAAAAGCCTTGAGGCATCTACTGGTAGGGGTGAGGAGGTGACTTCACAGTCTGTCTCACTTTGGGTCCCTGGTTCATTTCTGTCACAATGACAGAAATGACAAGTGTCCTTAAGGGTAATTTTCTATGGCTTTGTCCCCACTCACTTGATAGCTGGATCAAGCACCATCTATCATTAACTTCCACTATCATCACAATGGGGGCTCAGCGGGACAATGCCTGGCTCTTCTCCATTAACTCTGTGCCCAGTGTGGGCGTGGCACACATAGGGTAATGAGTTAGCCACCATGCTGCTCTAGATCTGACTCATCTGAGGGAATGGGTGCTGGGCACTGTTCTCTGCTCTAAGAATCTTTCTCCTTGGGCTAGAGGAACTCTATAGTTGGGGCAGGGCTGGCTGCATGGAGGAAGTGGGACTAACATGATCCTGGGCTTGGGAGTGGAGGTGAAGGTAGGGACTCTTCATATAGCCATCCCTGGGGGCTCTGGGCTGTGGGTGCTTATGGACTTTTGAGTTTGCTTTCTGGAAAAGGAAAGAGGAAGAGAAATCCCTTGGGGGTGGGAGGTTGTTTAAGTCAGCTGCACTGTCAAAAAGGAAACAGTACAGCTTAGAGCATCAGAGACTTCCCCTCTGTGGGCCTCAGAGTCCTCCATTACAAAATGGAAATAACAGTCATTCACAGGGTGTTGAACTTAAGTGT